GAGAAAGCTAGAACTTGGCTAAACAGGGCTGTAACTCTTGCTCCAGATGTTGGTGATTTCTGGGTTTTGTACTACAAGTTTGAACTTCAACATGGAACTGACGAGAATCAGAAGGACGTACTGAAGAGATGTATCGCTGCAGAACCCAAGCATGGTGAGAAATGGCAAACGATTTCGAAGGCTGTGGAGAACTCCCACCAGCCAACTGAAGCAATCCTGAAAAAAGTAGTGGTTGCGCTAGGTAAGGAGGAGGGCGCTGCTGAAAATAGCAAACATTAGTTTCTTCATAGTTCAGGGAGGGGCTCGGTTGTTGAGCCCCTCGTACACTGGTTAGCGCATGTTATGATTTGTAAGAAGATCCTGTAGTTAAAGGTCGGTTGAAACCACAGATGTCGCTGGGATTAATTGCATCAAAATTTCATCCTTCTGGGTATGATCAGAATGGCTGACTCACTTGGAAGCTTTTTAATCGTGGTGAATTGCAAATATATATTTCACAGGTAACATTGTTTGTAACTGCTTGGTAGAGCATGTTCATAGGGGAAAGCTATATCAACTTATCTATTTGATTAAATCCAGATATGTGCTCGTGAACTCCTTGCAATATATTTGATTAAATTTTTTGGTATCCTAGGTTTAGGGTTAACCATTTTGGTGGGATATTTTCAAAAGAGAATAAAATCGATTAGTATATGATCGAAGTGAACCTTTATTCGCGATTCGCTCTGCTTGAGGAGCTTGAAAAGCGCATGTTGGATAATGAATCTAGAATGATACTAGATGCATATGCTACAGCTGTTCTTTCCTTTTTTTTCCGCTACATTATAAACTTTAGCATATAATGCTATTGAGATTGAAAAGATGGTAAACAATCCTGATCGATGAAATCGAGGGATTAGCATTAGCTGTACGGATAATTTTTCTGTTTGCTGGTTGTAGTAGTAGGATATTGGTTGGGTAAAACTTAACTGTTTAGTCTTTTTCACTGGTGTTTGTTCTTTTCTCCCTTCCCACTCCCCTTCTTCTTTTCCCCTTTCTTCTCCTCTTTCCTTTTCAAACAACTTCTTGGTAGGATAACCTGCAAAACGATGGTATGAGAGCTGCAGCCTTTGGCTTCGAACTCGGGTTCCGACTTGGATGAATTGGATGTCAATGTCTTAGTCCGTGCTTGGTCTATTGTCTCAGAAGGAACCAAGCACCGAGCTATAGTGTTCCACCTCACAACTCAAATCGTCATCATGTTATGCTAACTTGATTAGAGTAGGCTTGGAATTTTTGTGCTTCCAAGTTTGAATAGTTGAGATTGAAGAAGTTTAGATTTTTCTTTGCCCCTTGATAGGCTTACAAATTTTTGCTTTAAATTTGAATAGTTGAGTATAGATTTTTCTTTGCTCTGGTGATCTCTCTCCTCTCTCCCCACCTTAACCACTGGTTATTTCTAGACTTCCAACTTTACATTCACTTTCTTATGCAATTTCATACTATTGATGGATATTGTATGGTTTTATTCTTGAGATCATTTGAAGATTCTCTCAATGGTTAAGCAAAAATTCACTTGAAAAATAGATTGAGGTGTTCAAAAGCCGCCTTGGCTTATCCTTGGAAAAATAGATGTTTGTTTTTCAATGCACAAATAAATGAGGGAAGGGGTGGGGGAATTATGATATATTATTGTTAGAGGTGGAACCATGTCACGGCGCTCTCTGAAAATTGGTATTAAATTGGTATTTGTGCTATAGGTTGGATAGATCGAAGACGAGATGGATCAGACAAAGCGGTATAGAGCTCTATAATGATATGATAACGCTTCTAAAAACTCCCTTATAAAAGGTGGAGTTCGATATGAACATAGTAAGACACCTTATGCTTTACTATAAGGTGGGAGGTTCGATTCTCTGTCTCAAAAAAAATTGATCTCTAACTACGTCTCCAATCATCTCAAAAAAAGATGTAGATGTCAATTACAGCAATGTTTATAATTTAGTTAAAATTACACGTTCAAGTTCAACGTTTTAATTTTTTTAATTTATCCCAACGCCCCCGCGAAAGAAAATACTTCAAATCTTCTTCACATCGTCTTCTAAAGGATGCAACGATCCGTGATGGTAAAGAACTCCTCCAACGTTCGAAGTTTCAATCGATCTCTCTCTCTCTCCGTCTCCAAGTTTCAAGAGAGAAGAAGAAGCAGAATCGGAAATTCGTTCTAGATTTAGCCAAGCAATGGTCTAATTCGGACTAGCGAGATTCTTCATCTGTTTGTTCTTTGGAAGCTCTGCATTTTCTGGTTCAAATCCGACTCGATTCGTGCATTTTGAAGAGGAGCTGTTCCTTCCGGTAATGTCACCGATGTTTAGATTTCAAACTATATCGATCGTCGATTTCGATTTTCCGATTCCGCTGAGTTCTTGATTTCGTCTGTTGCAAAAATTTCCATCGCATTGATTTCGATAAATGCTATTTATTAGTTTGCTAGATTTATTTATGTTGTTGTTGCGTTTTAATCATGACTACTGCTCGTTGATCGGTTTGGATTATTCGAAACCGTTCATTGATTTTCTTTTAGTGCTAAAACCAATTAACTTTTCTTTAATGTTATTATGTAGGTTTCAACATTCATTAATTCGTTATTAAAGAAAAATAAATGTTGTTCTAAAATTAATTACTTGAACTAATGAATAATATTAATTTCTATAATTTTTTACATTAAATTATATAATTTTAATATCTTTAAGATCATGTAAAATAAAACAATATTTTCTTTAAAGTTTTTTTTTAAATTCATCAAAGTAGGAATTTGAACCTCTGTACTTATTTTTTATCTTGACTAATGAGTGCTCAAGTTGATATTTATTTGTCAAAACGAGCATAGTTTATACCTCAAATCAAGAGATTGTGAATTCGATCCTCCACTCTCACATGTTGTATTATAAAAAAAAGTCGATATTTATTTTCTTAAAGTTGAAGATTTGAATTTCAACCTCACATTTTTAGAACTAGAAAATTAAAATAAAATGAAAATATAGATTTTTTTAATTTCCGGGATTCCAACCATTATCAGAGAGAGTTTCTTAAAGTATTTTATTAACATTGAAAAACGAGACAAAAATAGAGAGCACATCTCCAATTTTAAAGCGAGCTACAAATGTCAATTTAAGAATAATTTAATATTTAAAATATCTACTCCTTTAAATGGAAAGTTTGAATCTTCGATCCATATATATTGTATTAAAAAATATCTATTATAGAATTAAGAATAATATTGTAGTGTTTTTTTGCCTTTTATCTTTAATTTTTTATTTTGAATGAAGGTTAGTAGGAGATATACCGGGAATATTGAGCGGAAAAAGAAAAGAAAATGAGAGGAAAATGATACGACGTCGTCTGTAGTAATATAATAATAGCAAAGAAAGCAAGAGCAGAAGCCAGAAACGCGGGATGCGGAAAGCGAAAGTTTAAAATTGTGGCCCATATTTCATTTGGCTTTTTTATTTTTTATGAAAATAAAAATAAAAAAAGCGAATGTAATGTAACGGACTCACCGTTTGCCACTTAGCGCCTCCAATTCCCTTCCCTCATCCTCCTTTCCCTCTCCTTTCGAATTCGGTTCACTGTTCGATCCGATTCGTTCCTTCCAAATTCCAGAATCATCAATAGTTTGATGTCATGAAGGTCAGTTCTCCGCCATTTTTGAATCTGCATTTTGCTTCCAATTCCTCTTTGATTCTTCCATTCCCACAGGAACTAACCGGATCGTATGTTTCGGCATTGGAAGATCGTCTCTGAATCTTTCTTTTCCGTTCATCTGTATAAGCGATGGGACTGTCGTCCGATAACATCCATGGCCTCGTCCTCGCCGTCTCTTCGAGTATCTTTATCGGTACTAGTTTTATTATCAAGAAGAAAGGTCTTATGAAAGCTGGTGCTACTGGAACCAGAGCAGGTTTCGTTCATTCTAGCATTTTCGATTTAATATGGTTGGATAATGCTGGAGTTTCATGTTTACGTACAAGTAGAATCGATATGGATTTGTCATTGTGTGTGTATTTAGGATCGATATCGTTATGTTTGGAATTCTTCGCCATGTGATTCCTCTGTTCTATTTTATTGAACTTGTTTCCATGTGATCAGGTTCTGGAGGATATTCGTACTTGTATGAACCTATGTGGTGGATTGGGATGATAAGTAGTAAGTTTTCTTCCTTTATCTGGTTGCTTATAATAATGTTATCCTGTTCAAACCTGGATTACTGCTGCTAGCTTTTCTCATAAGCATTATTGCACTTGCACGCATATTTTGTTGGATAAGTCTTCAAACTCTGCTCTTTTTTCTGCTGAATATCTCTGTTTTAACCAGCTGATTCGTCTTCTGAGATGTTTCTTTTTCCACTTTCCAAGTAGTTAAGATTTAGGAAGTCGAAGCATCCTTATATAAGAATTTGCATAGGTAATCTTTGGTTTGGTCCATAAAATATGATAGTTATTGAAGAGTTTTACCAGAGTTTGCTACAGCTCCGACTGTTTAATTCGTCAATATAAAGCTTCTTGAGTTGGGAACTATTGAAAAGAGTGATCCGGAGTCGGATAACAAGCATTTGCAGATCACGGAAGGTCGAAAGAGCAGTTTCACTAGTGATTAGGATGAATATTATTCTCACGATTCTGTTGTTCTGTTGTTGAATTACCAAAATATAGAGCCATTGCTTATATAAGATCGCTTTTGAGTTTTTAATGTTTACTAATAATCATTTTATTTCATTTTGTAGTGATTGTTGGAGAGGTTGCTAACTTCGCTGCTTATGCATATGCTCCTGCTATTCTTGTAACTCCTTTGGGAGCTCTAAGTATAATTTTCAGGTAGAGTAGAGTATCATGCCAAAACTACTTTCATAAGTCATACCAATGATATGAAAATCCTAATGAATTGAATAACAAATCCTTTGGCACGTGAACCCTTAATTCACCGACGCTAAAACTCTTTCAAACAATCTATATCTATTCTAGACCTTAGGAAACAAATTGATATCGGAGTATTAGTACGCTTTTGAATTAGGGGTTCATATGCCTAAATGTTCCTAATATCAATTCACTAAAGTTTTCATATCAAGGTATACATCAATTGAAGGAATTTTGGTATTTTTAATGTATATCATTTATTAATACTCAGATACTATGTGCACATCTGTTAGTTGTGTGGTAGTCTGTGCTCATAGGTATACATTCATGGGAATGGTATGCATGCCTGGAGTTGAGTAATTTAATGAAGCGACACCATTCTGCAGTGCAGTATTAGCTCATTTCATTTTGGAGGAGAAGTTACATATCTTTGGCATACTCGGGTGTGTTCTCTGTATAGTGGGATCTACAACTATTGTTTTGCATGCTCCTCAGGAGAGAAATATTGAATCTGTCAAGGAAGTCTGGCTGCTCGCTACAGAGCCAGGTTTGTTGTTTACTTCACCATGTTATATTTCATGCTTCAAAGTTAATTTTTCTTATACAGACTATCACTACATTAAATTAAGAATAATACTAATTAGGAAGAATTTTTTTTTGTTGATGTTTTTTTACAAATTGGAGAGAAATGTAGAAAGGGAAGCAGAGAAGAGTTTTTTTTTTTTTTTTTTTTTTAAGAAATTAAATAGTTGGCAAACTTTTTAGGGGTGATAAGTAGGAATTATTGATCAAAGGTATTATTCCATTTAAATTAAAATATTATTGATTTTTCTTTTCAAATGGCTAGTTTGAATGAAGATAAGGAGATTGATGGTATTTTTTAATAATTATTTTTAAAATACTAATTTACTAATGACATAACACGACTCGCCCCAAATTCTCCTGCAGACTTAAGTCCATGGATAGAAATTAGTAGATATGTATCAAGACTAGACTATAAAACTATTATTTTATTTAACTAAATTATACAAATTGCCTCTTTATCATGTGGTTGGTTAAGGCATTTTTGAAAAAGTCTCCATTCTACCTTAAAAGTTAGAAGCAAAATTGAATTCAACTAAATACATTAGAGGCATTTTGTATAGTTATTTAGTTTTAATTTTGCCCTTAATCTAGGTACTTGATTTCAATTTTGTCCCAATATTTTTGAGTTTCAATTATAACGAAATTGCTATTGGATTGTTCTCTTTGAACTCTTGTGAAACATTAAGGAC